TCCTTTAAGTTGTGCAACCATTCTCATCCTCCTTTTCCAAACTATTCCACAACCATTAACATAAGCTCGGTGCCCAATAAGCAAAAACTCTCCCTTCCCCCTCCCTGCTACCCGTTAACTACAATAATCTTGGTTTCTGTGTATTTGCTTATTTCATGTAAGTGAAATCATACAGTATTTGTCCTTTTGTGGCTGACTTATTTTGCTCAGCATGATGTTTTCAAGGTTCATCCATGTTGCGGCATGCCTCAGGACTTCATTTCTCTTTACAGCTGAGTAGTATTCCGTATTTTGATTATCCATTCATCTGTTGATAGACATTGCAAGTGTTTCCATCTTTTGCCTATCATGAATAGCGCTACAGTGAACACTGGTATACAGGCTTCTGTGTTCTTGCTTTCAATTCTTTTGGGTATATACCTACCTAGGTCATATAATAGTTTTCTGTTCAACATTTTGAGGAACCGCCAAACTGTTTTCCACAGTGACTGAACCATTTTACATTCCCACCAGCAATGGATGAGGGTTCCAGGTTCTCCACCCATGCCAACACCTGCTTGCTTTTTGTTTTTTTCATCATTGCCATTCTAATAGGGGTGAGGTGGTATTCCATTTGGCTTTTGAAGTGGCTCAGGCAGCACGTGGGGAAACCCTCCCCAGGCCAGAGCTAACCGTAATCCAATCAGCTTTGCTTCCACGGTCTCAGGCCCAGAAAAGCTAAGGAATGCAGACACCTCATACTACTCAGGGCTAGCAGCAAATTAAAAACAAAAAATTATACTCTCCTATGTTGCCAGATGTTTTGATGGCCTGCAAGTTTTTCACCTCACAACCTGACTTTTGGCCAGACTGAATGAAGATAATGAGTTTCAGTGAGGTTGCTTTCAGACCTGGCAACTGTTCTATGAATCAAATCATAGAAGCTTGTGAAAAACTGTTGTTTCCTAAGCAACACAGCCTTCCAATGCAAAGTGATTTTATTTCTTCAAATATCCATGATCTAGACATACAATAACAGAATTCAACTCACATGTAATCATTCTCATTTCCTTACATGTTGGTGTTTTTCATCACATCAGTGAAATTTTGCCCGATTTGTAAGATGATCATTGAACTGCTTTTATAGCTAAGTCACCTTGGAAATTGACTGTTTGTGGAGCTGTTAGCCCTGTTCCATTTATGTAGCATTAACATTAGTCTTGGTTTTCTTATAATTTTGAACTTAAATGGTTTCTTCTAGCTGGTAATTTTGCTCTGACCCAAAATCCTCTCTGAAGATGCTGAGAATTCTTGTTTCTGTTGTGTTTGCAATCCATAAAAAGGCAAAGACAAGAACAAAGGAAGTGAACATCTGGGACCATGGAGATAATCAAGAGCAGCTCAAGAGTAATTCAGAGCACACACCCATTCTGCTCAGATAGAGCTGGTTAATAAATTCTGCCAATACTTGAGGCATTCAGAGTGGCACAGCAGCTCACAGTGACACTCAGCCCTCAGGGGATATGTTTTAATACAAAAACTTGATATAATTTAGTAGCAATTTTCTTTGGGAGTAAATTGGTCTCTGAATCACACTCAAAGAACATAAGAGAAAAATGACTAATAATTCAGCACGAAATGAAAACCTGTGGTTACTAAGAGGCACCACTGTGCACTTAGCAATTTATTCTTCTAGCTAAACCTACCAGTCAGGTCTACAGGACGAACGGCACCTGTGAAGCTTAGAGAAGGACCTGAGTGGCGCTTCACCAACGCGGAATGTTTCCAATATAAAAACCTGTGAGGCAATTTCCCAGCACATTAGGGTGAAATTACTTAAGATGAATATTTCCTTCTGTGGCGATCAAACGCCACAGAAATTGCCGTCTTACAATGCCCCTCTGTGGAAGGTGCTGGTACAATTTGGCCTGCTATTTTAGTCATTATTTTTGTGTGGCCCAGCACAGGCAAGGCCACCTCTCAATGATCTGGGAGAGGATTTCCTAACTTGAGGGTCACCCATGCTTTCATTAGTAGAGAGCCATTCTTTTCTGCGGCTCGTACAGGGCTCAAAATGAGAAGGCAACTGGCCAGGTTTTCCGATAGTGGCTCTCATTAACAAAACATGAGAGGTTTGAGAATGTTAGCTCTGGGTGAAAATGACGAGTAGTCATTTATGGAGAAGTATCACTAACTTCCAGCCTACTTCTCTGTTCCAACTTTTTATTGATTTACTGAGATCAAAGACAAACAGGACACTTAGGAGCTTCAAGTGGAAATGCTCATGTTGAGAAGCTACTTTCGGAAGTTACACAGTATAATTCAGCTATCAACCAGATCTGACACTTCCTCCCAGACTTGGCCTGCACGTAACTGTTCATCTTTAGAATAACCCTTTCAGCAATTCTGCTCTGAAGACAAATAATTATTGAATATCAACTTAGAAAAATGGAGGTGACAGACATAGCTGGAAGCCATCAAGTAACAGTATACATGAACATGCTACAAATGTAGCAGGGAATAAGATCTAGAACATTCTGAATATAAAAATAATTCTATAGAAAGATCATTCCAATCACCTTAACGCCACATAGACACTACTATAAAAACTGTAGGGCTCCAGTAATAAGACCCATGAAACCAAAATCAAACCAGTTGCCATCAAGAAGACTCTGACTTGGGGCAACCCCACATTACAGAGAACTGTACTCCACAGGTTTTTCAAGGCTGTGACCTTTTGGAAGCAGACCACCAGGCCTTTCTTCCTAGGCACATCTGGGTGGGTTCACACCACCACTTTTTCGTTAGTAGTAGAGCAGTTAACCATCTGCACCACACAGGTCCTATAAGACCCACAGGGTGATGGAAAAGGAAGTGTTTTGGAGCCAGGCAGGCCCAAGTTTGAATCCCAGCTCTACTGTGTACTAGGTATTCGTATTAATGATCACATCATACTCCATTTATGGACCCACACTTCCAGGCTGCTGTTTAAGTCTCAGGAAATGGCTTCTGCAGGAACAAGAAGTCCTGGCCTCAAGTCTACACATTTTGTGCAAATTCCTTATTCTTCAATGTTAACATTACATCAAATTTTCAGCATGTGCAGTGTTTCACTTATAAACAAGCCTTCCTCATGTGGCTCTGAGCCTGCTTGCAGCCTGCCCACTCTGAGACTCAGAAGGGCACCCTTGCTCCTCAGGTTGATTTTGGTGTTTTCTTCCCACCTTCACAAACCAAAACCCGTTGCCTTCAAGTCAATCTGACTCAGCACGGTGCACTATTAAAAGTTTTAAAGCGCTTCATGCATATCATTGCCCTCCAGCGACTAAAATCATCTTTGTAGTAATCAGCTCAGCTGCTCCTCTTCGTGCAAAAACAAACAAAATTTCAATCAAGTTACTAAACCACCATCAAGATGAAAAACGTTTTTTCTAGGAAATGTGGGTTGAGCCAACCAGTTACATTTGATCATATCTTCCTGATCAAACCTTATAGCTGCCTGGGATCAGGGCCACCGTCTAAAGTCACAGAGCACAGATGGACCACATGGTACTGTTAGACATCCTAGTCTTAAAGGTGCTGGCTAATTTTAGTACTGGCACATTTCCCCTTCAACATCTCCCAACTCTAAAGAGCCCAGCCTCCATGGTCTTCCTTATACATTTATTTCTTATAATCTTGTATAATAAGCATGTATTATTTATGTAATGAGGGAAAAAAATCTGTGGTATTATAAGAAGGGAAGTAAGAATCCACAGTATTAAAACATAAGCTCTGCATTCAAAATTAACTTTAGGTTTGCAACACCATCCTTACAGACTGGTTGACACTGATTCATTACCTGCCTAACTGTGGGCCAGTCAGCTTTAAACTCAGGAGAAGTCCTATCTCAGTCACAGGGGGGAGAGTAGCTACCCTTCATAGGCCAGGCCTGTGCTTAGCTCCTTTATGCATCACGGCCCAAATCCTCTGTGGTAGGTGTTGCTATCCCCATGGTTTAGATGAGACTGAGTCCAAGTCTGCACGTAAGTCCTCCTCCAATGACAGGAAAATCATCTGAAAGGCAAGTCCCACTGAAGGTTGAGCAGGGCACTGTCTTGGTGTAAAGAGTAACAAATTACAATAAACTGATCCAGAAACTACTGATGAATATTTACTGGTAAAGGGTAGGTGTTCAAAGATGATCCCACTTCTATTGACACCTTCAATAATTGTTAGTTATAAATTCAGTGAGAAATTTATTCTACATCGATATAAGTAGGTTTGTTATCCAAATGCAAATCTAACTAGGTTTGAAATACTAAAAGTAGAACCTTTGGCTCCATGATGACCTTTTCCATAATTTCTTGAATTTTAAAAACCCAGACAGACGATGAAATCACGAGTATACGCGAGTCTGTGTGAAGCATAAGGCCAAATCAGAAGGTGGACATTTGAACATTCTCCTACCTACTCCCCTGGCCCCCAATAAGGGCTTCTAGGTCTACATGCCATTTCTCAGTAAGGAGCAGCAAACCGTCTTCCCTAAAGGCTCATCAGTAACAGCAGCTGCCTGAACCTGCATCTTTAAACACGCATCTTAGGAACTGGGAGCGTCTGGGACCTTAACCTTAACCCAGCCTTCCATGACAGTCTTTCTACTTTCTACTACAGAGCATGACACTGCAATAAGAGCAATGAAGCGCTTCAGCTTTTTCACTTCTGCAGCAGCTGTAACAACCTCCCCGATGTATAAAGGGGCTGGGAAGGTAATTTCCTGGGAAAGAAATACACAGCCTGGTCCAGGCATTTTAGTACCCAAGAGAGCGGAAATAAGTCCATTGATCAAAACTCCATGTACAATTGTCTTCCCAAACTTGGTCTGTTTGGCAAAATCTTCATTTAAATGCAAAGGATTGGCGTCCCCTGTTAATTGTGCAAAGACAGCCACGTCCCTCTGTGTGAAGGTCCTGCTGAGTTCAGCTCGGTCCCCAACCCGGATGTGCCTATGCTGACAGCACTGCCTCCTCCACACCAGCTGGTTCAGGCGAGTGCTCTTCTGAAGCCCACCCCAGCAGAGGCCATGGCTAGAAATTACTGAGAACATCTTCAGCACCCACAGTTCCAAAGCTTAGCCTGCTTCCGTCTTCAAACACTGCACTGGCACCAAAAATCGTTTGGAGAACAGATGAATATTTCTGAAATTGAACACTGTTCAGTCCAATACTAGTTCCCTACTATTGCCAGATAATGCAAGAAGAAATGGAGAAACCTACAAGAGAAAGAAAAAAGTTAACGCAACAGTGGGGGAAACTGTACTGAAACACAGCGCAGAGGGTAGATGGGGAGTGGAAACACACCCAGTTTGACAGGATAAACCAAGCTGATAAACAGTGGCATTTTAAAGAGCATCCTGGGAGGAAGCCTGAGATAAACAAGTGGTCACTTTAAGCTCAGAAAAAGCATTCAGCACATAAGGCACTATGCCAGGCTTTAAGCTTTAAATGAAAAGTTAAGGCTATTATTGTTAAGAGCTCCATGTTTTATCCCAAAACTTCTCCCACACAATTAAAAATCTAAGTGCATTGTCTCACATTCTTGGAAGCAATGAAGTCCTGGACCTTCCCCCCAGCTGGATGACGTTAAACATACTAGACTTACGCAAGCAAATAAAAATGGGACACATATATTAAAAAGCACTTGATCCACCACTGGTTTGGAATATGTGAAGGAACAGTCTTTACCTGCATCACTCTGAAAGCACATTTTTTGCCTTGATAGGACCCTAGCAGGGTCAAAGAGCTCCACAATTTGACAAGACCACTGTGGAAAGACCAAGGAAAGCATCAAGTTAAATATTCATCTTGGCAACCTCTCCCTAATATTTTGTTTGTGATGGTCCAGAGAGTGATTGCTTTTTACCAGAAACCCCAATTTAAATAAGAAAACCTTAAAAGCAAAAGCACAGTGTGTCAAAGGTAATTATAAAATGAACCTCGATTCAGGAACGTTTCTAAAATAGACAGTTTAGACCATAACCATCAACTGGAAAACTCCAAGTTGTTGTTAGGGGCCATTGGGTTGATGTTCAACTCACAGCAACCCCATGTGACAGAACTGCCCCATAGAGTTTTCTTGCCTGTAATCTTTACGGGAACAGACCACCAGGTCTTTCTCCCACGGAGCCACTGGGTGGGTAGGAACCCCAACCTTTCAGTCTGCAGGTGATCACTGAACCACTGCACCACCAGGGCCCCTTGGAGAACTCTACGGATGTCACCAAGTCACAAGTTTTGCTGTCTTTACAGTATAAGCTCCTGGTGGGTGACATTCATATTCTCCCCAGTTTAAACTCCCTCAAGCTGCTCAGAGTTCACAATGACAAAACTCTTCATTCTCAGAAGACTATTTCTGCTCTACTTCCCCATCTCTCTCTGCCCGGTTGTATTGGAATTGTACCAGTTGTACCTGCTACATATTCTCAAGATGGCTGACAAGGTCCTCTCTTCGTATGTCAGGACATCCAAGGTCAAAGCAGCACCAACCTACATATGGAATAACGCTATCGTCAGACGCGTATCATCACCATTCTTGAGTAAATCTTGTCCACTTTAAGTGTTTGCCTCCAGCGTTACTGCCGTTACTGCATCCCATTATTCTTCCTGACCCCCAAGATGAGGATCAATCCCAATAGGACCCTGTACTTCCTCTAACATGTTTTTCTACTAATGAACCAAGACCATTAGCCCCACGAGACAGAGGCCATCCCTGTTTACAGCTATATCTCTAGGGACCAAGTTCTATTCCTGGCACGTAGAAGGTACATAGATTTTTTTTAACTTTTTATTTGAAAAATGAGTCGCAGGAGTTTACAAAGGAATGTACAGGGAGATCCTGTGCACCCTTCACCCAACCTCCCTCAATGGCAGCGTCCTGCAAAACTATAGTACAATATCAAAACCAGGAAACTGACGCTGGTGCAATCCAGGGTTTGTTCACTTATCAGTTATACAGGTACTCATATTTGTGTGTGTGTGCGTGTGTGTTGTGTGTGTGTGTCACTTATCAGTTATACAGCTACTCATATTTGTGTGTGTGTGTGTGTGTGTGTGTGTGTGTGTGTGTGTGTGTGTGTGTAGTCTGGTACAATTTTATCACATTATGTAGTTTCATGTAACTATTACCACAATCAAAATAGAGCACTGTAAGGTCACCACAAGTCTCCCTCATTCTACCCCTTTATAGCCACACCCACCCCTTCTCCCATCCCTAACCCCGGACAACCACTCGTCTGTTCTCCAGATTAGATAAATTATGTTATTTCAGAGTGTTACATAAATGGTGTCGTGCAGTATTCCATCTTTTGGTGCTGGCTTTTTCCACTCAGCGTAATTTGCTGGAGATTCATCCAGGTCGTTGTGTGTATCAATAGTTCATTCCTTTTATTGATGAGTAATATCCCAAAGTATGAAGGCACCACAGTTTGTTCACCCATTACCCACTGAAGGACATACGGGGTGATTCCAGGTTTTGGCTATTAGACAAAGCTACTGTGAACATTTGTGTACAGGTATTTTGTGAACGTTTAAGTTTTCACTTCTCTGGGATAAACACCCAAGAACGGAACTGCTGGGTCATATGGGGGTTGCAGGTTTAGTTTGTTTTTTCATAAAAGAAACTGCCGAACTGCGTTCCAGAGTGATCGTGCCGCGTTACATTCCCACCAGCAACGTATGGGTGACACAGTTTCTCCACATCCTCACGAAAAGCTGGTGCTCTCACCACTCTTTATTTCCCTCATTCTGACAGGTGTGTAGTGGTAGCTCACTGTTTTTAACTTGCACTTCTCTGACAGCTAATGATCTCAAACATCTCTTCATGTACTTACTCGCCATCTGTACATCCTCTTTGGTGAAATGTCTGTTCATGTCTTTTGCCCATTTTCTAATTGGACTGTTTGGTTATTTTGCTGTTGAGTTTTGAGAATTCTTCCTATATTCTACACATTAGTCCTCTGTCAAAAATGTGGTCTGCAAATATTTTCTCCCAGTCTGTACTTTGTCTTTTTATCGCTGAACAATCTTTCACGGAGTCAGTTTTTCATCTTGATGAGACGCTCAGCAGATTTGACTGAATGTATGAAGCAGGAATTAATTTCCTGAGAATCCCGTGTCTATGTTCTCTGTCTAGGCTTCCAAAACTCCACTTGTTTTCAAGTGAATGCTAGAACAATGCTCCTCAAAGTGCTTGTCCACGACAAGGATCTTGTACCAGAATGTCAATCAACAATGTCACTATGTACCCTGCTTAGTTAAGTTAGCGTTTTTTCCTAAGAAGACTTTTTCCTAAAAGGAAGCGGTGCAAGCCCTTCATCTCTTTGTGAGGTGCAGAAACTGTTTGTGGGTTGCTAGTCTGGGTCATATTTTGAGTAGCACTGTGCTAGAACAAGCACTTCCTAACAAGTTCCTATCTAAGGCATATTAGAACACTCTACCAAAAATGGGCCCTTTCCAAAAGCCGGATTCTGTATGCCAAATACTGTTTTAAAAGAATCTTTTGGAAAGTATTTCTTACAAAGACCTTAGGAATGGTCGATCTACAAAGTCATTCCATACCTCCCCGAACAGGTCCTTCAAAGCCAAAATAACCAACTGTTTGAACTGTGCAGCAGTCAGTTCAATCCCACGCTCTTGAAATTCTCTGTAAAAAAAAAAAATGGAAAGAAAAAATACATATGATTAGATTTCATGATCTTCAGAATCAACAAAGCAGAATCTAAAATAGAACCTGGGAGACTGAACTTACAGGCGGACTTTCAGATAGTGGTGCTCAGAGGGATTTTTATAAACTATTCTTTCGTATGTGGCAGGTGACGCTGGAATCCTTTCCATTGCTGATCACACCTATAGGAAGAGTCAAGAGGACTAGAAGTTATCAAAGTATAAATTATTTTCACATTTTTAATGAGAATCTGGGGCCCTGGTGGTGCAGTGATTAAACATTTGGCTGCTAACATAAAGGTCAGCAGTTCACATCCACCAGCCACTCCTTGGAAACCCTGTGGGGCAGTTCTGCTCTGCCCTGTAGGGTGGCTATGAGTCAGAATCGACTTGATGGCAACAGGTTTTGGTTTTAATGAGGATTTGGCTTTTTTTTTTTTTTTTTTAAAGACCTCCTAGTACAGTAACTCATCCAATTCTGGTCAAACTAAGGTTACGCGTATAGACACTAAGGAAATCTCTATATTTCATATAAGCCAGACCAGTATACTCTTACTTAAATACTAGTCACACTCTTCCTTACTGACCACTCAGCTCTGTGCTAAATGCTTAGCTCATTTTTCTTCAAAATGATCTTACAGGGTGAATGCTATTATTATCCTCGTTTTGAGAAAAGGAAACTGAGGCTTAGGTAACACTTGCCCAAGGGCAGCCAGAGATTCCAACCACTCCTGAGTCCCCTCAGGACTACTCTGATACGATACCTCTTTATCCAAAGTAAAAGCATGATAAGGGAGTAAAACCAGGGCTCTGAAGCCCCTCGTTACTCCAGCAAACAGAGAACATGAAGAGCAGAACGAGGGGTGGCCGTTCTGCTGTCCCGACCCATCCTCCGACTGCCTGTTCCTTCAGTCTGCTTGCCCCAGGCTAGTCTGTGCAGGGCTATTTGGCAGGCCAGTGAGAGGGATGTGAGAACGGGATTCCTGGAATGGGAACACAATGCCGTTTCTAATGAACTTGGAACTTTAAAGGACTTAGACATGCTGGTCCACCTGGAGAGAATCTCTCTTCTCGGCTCCACTCCCATCTCACTCTCCACCTGGAGGCTCCTAACTCATCCTTTTAGTTTTAGCTGAAATGTCACCTCTTCCGGGAGGCCTTCTCTTTTTTACTGATGTTTCACCAGCACCACCAGATCCTCAAAAACTATTTGCGGAGTGAAGGAAATGGACAATAGCCTGGTTCTTCCCAAGACCTGTTCTCACCTTTTACTTTGAAGTCATAAAATCGGACCATGTCAAACAGCGAGAACTGGAAGGGGCCTTAGTAATCATCCAGCCCAACACTGCTGCTTTGTAGACCAGGAAACCCAGGCTAACCAAGAGCCTTATCCTCGGTCACACCGCTATGGACCAGCAGCCAAAAAAACTCCTCCAGGTCAGGCCCAGTTGCAACCACTCTCAGACAATGAACTCCAGAGACAAATGAGAAGTCAGGATCAAAGAGCTACATCCTGCCCTCCATTCCATAAACACTAATATTCACTATGTCTGACACAGAAGAGGTATTCAACAAACACTTGTCGATCAACTGAGTAAGTGAATGGCGGTAGTGGTAGGCCTGTGGGTTCAATCAAGTCTTTGGTTTCAGGATAACAGCATTAGTTGCCTAGTGCTTCTCCTTCCCAGCCACTAGTCTCCCCTGACTAGGTGAGCAGGGAGAACGGGAAGCTCACCCATCTCATTCACTGCTTGGCATATAGTAAGTGTTTTTAAGCGTTACTGACTGTGCTGATGGAGACGGTTGCCTGAGGCAGGGAATGAGAATAGGTAAAACTTCAAGCGTAAATGTTCGCTGAGCAGTCACTTCTCCATAACCCTCAGTCCCCAGGGTCAGTGATAGCGCTGCCCCTCTGAGGGCTGTCCTGAGATTAAATGAGGCAATGCCTGGACGCGCAGCACACAGCCTGGCATATTCACCATGCTCCCCAGGAAAGGCGAATGCTCCTATAGCGACCGTCATCACCTTTTTAATGGCTGCAGGGATTTTCTCTAACTGATCTGTTCCCAACAGGTGGTCTTGCTTCACCTCTGCTCTCCTCCCCAATCTATTCCCCACAGCAGCCAGAAAACGAACCTCACAAAACCTACTCACGCCACTCCTTCCTCTGCTCAAAACCTTGCCCTGGTTCCCACTTCACTTTGAAGAAATAAAGTCCTTACAGAGGCCAGAAAGGCCCTACCTGAACTGTACGCTGCTCCCCCACCTCTGACCTCACTTTCTATCATTCTCTCCCTTCCCCACACTGGCCTCCTAGCTCTTTTTCATATACCAGTCTCCCGCCCTTCTAGGTTTCCGCTCTAACTCTTCCCCATGCTGGGAATGCTCTTCTTCCAGGTGTCACATGGCTCATACCTTCATCTCCTTTATAGCTTTGCTCAAATCTCACTTCTCAATTTGGCCCAGTGGCCATCCTGTCTTAATATTGCAAGCATCCCAAGCCCCTGTCCTTGCTCTATTTGTTTTTCCTCATAGCACTTACCACCACCTAACATAATCACGTAATTCACTTCCTCTCTATTTGTTCTCCCCTTCCCCACCCCAACAGACTACACTCCAGGAGAGGTAGGGATCCTTCTGTCTTGTTCACTCCTGCTTCCCAAGGACCTAAAACTGTGCATCGTACACAACAGGGGGCGTTCAACACAGTTTTTGGGATAAATCAGTGATTTAAAAAAAAAAAAATCACCCAACTCCGTACTTTTTTCTGCTAACGCACACTTACTTAGCGTCCACCTCGTGCCAGGTGCATGCAGCTTGCTCTACACACGTGGTCCTGCTCTATCCTCCCCGCCACCCTCTGCGACCGAGACCATTAGGTACGTTGTACTGAAGGCGGGGCGGTTTGTGGCCAGGCCTCGCCCTCTGCCCGCGGCCACCTCCCGGCGGCGTCCTCGGCCGGGGACGGGTCGGGATCTGAGGCGGCCCAGCGCGGCCCGCCAGCCCACCTCGTCGTTCCCGCCCAACGCGTCCAGACCTGGCGCGCGCGACCAAGCGTCACCAGCGCGGCCGACTGAGCCGCTTCCGAAGTTCGGCTGCTCTCCGGTGGGCTTCCGCCTATCAGCTCTCCGTCGGCCTGGTCTGGCGCCCCCCCACCCCCGCACGCTTCCTGTTCGCGGCAAGAATCCGCTAGGGCTCGGGACGCCCATGCAGAACCCAGAGCCTGGGCCGCGGAAACTCCGGGCGTGTTTACGTTGGCTTTCCTCTGTTCGCCCCCGGATGCGTGACGACTCGGCGCGGATGTGACGTCATCTGTGGCGTCACCCTAACGACCCAGGCGTGAGTTCAGATGAGGCGCTGGGACGGCCGAGCTCAGCGCCCCCTGGTGCCCATCGTGGGGAAAACAGTGAGTGCAAATACTCTATTCCATCCCTCCCCCGTAGATAGGAGCTGCTCCTTTGAGGCAACCCTGAGCAGCATATCCAAACAGGAAACTTTGAAAAGCAGGCAGTCCTTTGAGTTAGAGTCCCTAGAAAACCCGTTGCCGTAGCGTCGATTTCGACTCATAGAGACCCTATAGGACAGAGTAGAACTGCCCCGTAGGGCTTCCAGGGAGCGGCTGGTGGATTCGAACTGCCGGCCTTTTGGTTAGCAGCCAAGCTCTTAACCACTTCGCCACCAGGCATTGATTTATTTTAAGGTGAGGGCATCATTTTAGTAAAATAATGTGAAATAAAAATCAGGACCTGCCCCTTACTGTCACAAGAGGGCACTCTGGACCACCCTCTGTATGCCCTTCCTTACACCTGCAAGGAGTCGTCTTCCGTAGGACGCCGAAGAGAGGGAACTGTGAACGCGCTTACCGCCTCTTATCTGCAAGTCTGAAATACAAAAAAGCCTGGAAGCCAAAGCTCTCTTCGTTTGGCGTCAGTACTCAATCTGAACTGAGGGAGGCTTTTTATAGCGTTTGTCCCACTTACTGTGGATATTCATACATCGCACAGCAGAAATATGAATGCGTTTGTTCATCTAAGGCTGCCCCAGACCCCACTGGGAGTGTTACATAATATATAGTACACATACCATAATACCTTTCTACAACTGGAAGATTTCTGAATTCTGAAACACGTCTGGTCCTGAGAATTTGGGGACGTATATTCAATGTCAACGTTTGGCAGTTGGCTTTCCCAGCGTTGTCCTCAAGGACAGTTACCCACCCCCCAGCCAGCTTTGACTTCCGGGTCATTGAGACTATCACCTTGGTGCCGCTTCCTGCCCCTAAGAATCCTTCCTTCTCATTCCTCTCCCTGCTGGAGCTCAGTGGCCTCCTGGGTGTGGCTTACAGTTCCTATTCATTGCTTTGAGGGTTTAGGGACCAGTTCAGGAAAGTTCCCTTCAGGAGCCAAGGGAAGAGGACTGTCCTGTTGCTGAAAGGAGAGCTAAGCAGTCAGCCATGCGTTTCCCTGACTAGGCAAGAACCTCATAGGCCCACATCTATTTCCAGCCCGGAGAGCAGCGACACCAGGCCTTAGACCCCTGGGTCAGCTGGGAGTACCAGACCAGCAGCTCCAGGACCCTCACCTTCCAGTCTGACTTTGGCAGGTAATTTGATGACATCTCCACTGCCCCATTTGTGGCTACACTCTCACCCCCTCAAAAAAAAAAAAAAAAGTACTATTTTTATCTGCCTCACTGAAAGGAATTGAGAGGTTTTGAAAGCAGCATCCAATTTAGGGTGGAGGGGAGGCTGATGGGAAAATCCAGGCTGTGTGGTCACAGGAGTGGCACTGGAAGAGATAAACGATGATGTTTCAGAACCAGGCTTCCCATTGTTGGGGGGGAGCATGCATGAGTGTGGCTCCCCATTGTTAGGGGGGAGTATGCATGAGTGTGGCTCCCCATTGTTAGGGGGGAGTATGCCTGGGTGAGGCCTCCCATTGTTGCGGGGAAGTATGCTTGGGTGCAGCTTCCCATTGTTAGGGGGTAGTATGCCTGGGTGAGGCCTCCCATTGTTAGGGGGTAGTATGCCTGGGTGCAGCTTCCCATTGTTAGGGGGGAGTATGCCTGGGTGAGGCTTCCCACTGCTAGGGGGGCATATGCCTGGGTGAGGCTTCCCATTGTTAGGGGGGAGCATGCCTGGGTGAGGCTTCCCATTGTT